ACTTCGTATGAGGAAGTTATGATTTTTCTAAGATTTGGCATAGCAGTACACAACCCGAAATTCGAAACAAAAATCGAGTGAATTTTTAGCTGACACAACCTAAACGAGAATTGAAGATCTCATTAATAGTAATACAACAGTAAAAAGACGGATGAAAACGGACGTCGGATGAAGAAGTTATGAACTTTTAATGAACTTTTCCTGTCCCGGCCCGTTAAAAATATAACTTTAAAAATAAAGTCAAAATTTTCTTACGGAGTATAAACGAAATTTGTAGAGCATAATTTCTATGAATTAAATCATTTGTTGATATGGAAAGCTTGTCATATGATACTCATCCGCCTTTGTTGTTTGTTCTCCTTTGCTTCTGTTATATTGATATATATATATATATATATATATATATATATATATATATATATATATATATATAACATACTGTTATATTGTAACTATTATTGAACTCACTAAGCGTCACCGCTTGCCCCTTTCAATGTTTAATTATTACAGGTAATAAGCATCCAGTATAGTTAAGTATTGTCAGAAGATGTAGAATAGCTAATATTATAGATTTTGTATTTTGTGTATAAATTCTTGGGAAATCATGTAATATATATATATATATATATATATATATATATATATATATAACTTTTTAAAAAGCTCGTTAGTCGGTTTGTATCCAACCTTTTGTAACAAAACCATATATGCAAAATATGTTTATCAATATGCATGTAGCATGTTTAGAATAATGATGTTAATTATGAATGGGCTCTTTCACTACTTCTTCTTAGGCCTTGCAAATTAGAAAAAATATGAAAACCACATCCTGTATCAAGGACCCAAGACATAGCATGTGATGAGTTGTTAAAATGAATAGTATAAATACATGCGAAGGATGGCTTTATCTTCCCATCCTTGATATCTTGCAAGTACTTTGGGCAGCTTTATTTCCAATGCCCTTTCTCGTGGTAGTAGTAGCACTTTGCATCCTTCGGGTTGGAGGAGGGTGCAGTGGGACCAACCTTGGTTCCACTAGAAGAGGTGTCATCGTGGGACTTTCCCTTGTGGATCTTAGAATGAGCCTTCCTGTTTTTTCCCTTCCCTTGCCTAATTGCCAAGACATGGGTGGTAGTAAGTGTTGATGCAACGGATTTGTCTTTCAGACTACTCTCAGCAGGCCGTGAAGCTTGCTTAGAGTGACATCCTCCCTGTTTGATCATATGGTAGGTCATGCGGAACTGGTTGTAACAAGGAGGTAAGGAGTGTAGAATGATATCTATGGCTAGAAAAGACCGATTTGTTTATGCTTTTTTTTTATAAAATCAGAGTAATTCTTTGATTAAAAGAGTTGCGGAATTTTTTCCCAAAACAAAATATGATAAAATTTATCAAAATGTTTCTCAAGAGAATGTATTCTCATTAAATAATAAAACATCGGGATGTCATGTTCCGATACAGACCAAAATCATAAACAATATAAAATAGACCTTACAACAGTTATTTATAACTATTGATCTATAATCCAAAATCTCTCGTCAAGTCCACCAACTTATACCCTTGTGCCATTACCTGTAATGCAAAGAAAACTGAGTGGGTCAGGCTTGGGAGCCTAGTGAGCATATAGTGTTTTCAATCCATAACAATACATTTATTATATTCAATTATCAAACAATCAACCCAAATACCCATCCCCATATCTCCTTTATTGTCTCAAGGGTTTACCCTAAGAACCAACTATCCTTCATTCATTCATTCCTAAGGATTTACCTAAGGAACTGGTACAAAGTCCATTTGCTACCACGGTTTATTCAACAGGCACTACGTCACATAGTCACCAGGGTTCATACGATAGGCACTACGTCTCATAGTCACCAAGGTTTACGCAATAAGCACTACGTCTCATAGTCACCTAGGTTTACACAACAGGCACAAAGTCACATTATCACCAAGGTTTATCAAATAGGCACGAAGTCGCATTGTCACCAAGGCTTACTCAATAAGCACGAAGTTGCATCGTCATCAACTATTCCATCTACCTATGTTCTACCCAACATTTTTGTAGATATAAATACAAACGCAGTTTAAATCATTCAACACCCGTATAAAAACATCAATTCCAAGCCCATCTCAAATAGACAAATAATATATAACACATAGCACATATTTCATAGCTAATACTTTATATTTATGTGTTAGAAGAGAGTAACAATACACTCACTTGATCAGAAGACGATCAGACAACACTACGACTTGTAGAAGTAGTATTCTTCGGTAGATCTGAAAGATCTTCACAAAAATTGGCTTCTCGCGGGCAGAGCTTCGGCTCGGGAATTTCACTTCTCGGGATATTTGGGGCTTCAGGACTTGCTTCAGGTCTCGGGAATGATACCGGGGCTTCGGGGTATTTCTTGCACGCAAAACGAGGTAAAAACGCGAGAGAAAGGGAAGAATGGAGCACCAAAATTTAGCTTCACTCGACATCTATTTATAGGGACTGAAAACCCAAATTACATTGGGCGTAATCTTTAGTTACGCTGGGCATAACCTGGATAAGGTCGTTGACTCCCCCCCCCCCCCCCCCCCTCTTTGGATAATATCAAAATTTATAATTAAATTTAATATTTTAACTATTTAATAAACTTCAAAAATTTATATCTTCCTCATACGAACTCCGTTTTCGATGTTATTTATATCCACGCGTAGGTGAGATTACGCTCTGCAACTTTCGTTTAGACTCCGTCGGCTAATTTTGAATTTATTTTTATTATTTATTTTTAGTAGCTCGGGACAAAAAAACTCTGTTATAAATTCATAACTTCTTCATCCGATGTCCGTTTTCGTCTGTCTTTTTACTGTTGCACTACTATCAACACAATCTTCGATTCTCATTTAGATTGTTTTGGCTAAAAACTGCTCGATCTCAAATCGAGTATTCGGGCTGCATACCGCTAAGTCGAAACTTAGAAAAACCATAACTTCCTCATACAAATTCAGATTTGGACGTTATTTTTATGCACGCTCATGGTTTAATGAACTCTACGACTTTCGTTTAGATCGCTAAGGCTAAATATTGCTCTAACATAAATTCATTTGTTACGTCATTCAGCATCGTGTCGATTCTGTCGCGAAACTTCGACAGATCATAACTTCTTCGTTATAACTCGGATTTCAGTGTTCTTTATATGTACGGAATCCTTGTAACATATACTAAAACTTAGTTAAGATTATTCCTTCAAAATAATCTTTCGTAAAAAAGTCATTTTTGACTTTTATTGTCCTTAAATTGACTAGCCCGAATCTACGGGCGTTACAATTATCTCCCCCTTAGGATGATTACGTCCCGGAATCATCAACGAAATAGGATTCTCATACTGACTCCATACGTTATCTCTCCATGCTAAGTAATAACCGTGATGCTTAATCTTTCATCTGCTCTTCATACTATGTTGGACTTTAAATCGTAACCTTCAAGTTACAAAATAAATCCTTATTGAGGACTCCTTCTTCTTCTTAGGATAAATACATTCATTTATCTATTGTAACAGACCGATGGGTCATGTCCCGATGACCTCTCATCGTAGTCGGACTCAATTTGATATGACCACTAGGGTGGGAATAACAACCATCTTACTAGTCATTACCGAAGCAATGGTAATGACATGCTTGAATAAAACGGAAACGATTACTAGCTTCTTGGTAACCTTGTGACTTTCTTTGATCTAAGCGTGAGTCATGTGCTTCCAGTAGTATAGATCTCTACTACTATTCACACCTACTCATACTCGTCCCAAGTATTGTTTCGTAGTCCCCAAGTCCTAAAATCACAAAACAATTTAACACATACGAATGTGTCCAAATAATCATAAAAAATCTCTTAGACTCTACTTGAACTTCTGCGTATCTCCAGTCATCAATCCTGCTTCAATTTGGTTAGTGGTGGAAAGTTCGTTCGATGGAACAACTTCAGGAATAACACCAATCGTTCCATCATCCCGCCAATCGAAGGTGTACTTCAGACGTACCGTACTCCTCCATACGTTCCATTATTATATCAGACATATTCTAAAGGCAAGATACCACTCTTACGATATCTTTCGATAGGTGTCATTCACTATCATAAGCCTTTCATTTCCTCCATCTACTCAATTCTCTACGATTCTTCTGCATAACGTTTTGTACAGCCAAGTAGACGTTCGGTGTACCAAGCGAGAATTTAAGATAAGAAAGCTTTATTTACGATAGACATATAAATCTCCTTATCACTCCGAAACATTTACATGCTATTTCTAATACCATAGTTGTACGCTTAGAATCCTAAACACGTAAGGTTTCCAGACCCGATCGACAACAGACCATAGATCCGAACAAACAATATCATATATGGCAAACATATAGCATGTAGCACATAAAAGTATTTTAGCCATCTTTCCTAAAATATACTAGTGCTTGTGTCTAAAATATGGTAGATACTCATCTCACAATCATCGCTTAGCAATCTAAGTTTAAGTCTAGAAAGCCTACAAATTCCTAGTTCGCTTAAACCACTACTAGAAAACAGCCCTTTAATGACGCGCAAACAATGACACGCGCCGATAGAAGACGCGCATTTGTGCGTGCCCTAAAATATAATGTCAGTTTTGCAAAATTTGAAGGGCAGTGGACACACATTTTTTGGGCGCCCTAAAGTTAGTGTCCAACAAAAAAAGAAAAAAAAAACACGGAGGGCACCTATCCTAAAAAGCGTGACATGTAATTGTGTCTCTTTATAATTGTAGACTATGAGCGCGCGTTTTCGTTTTTTAACAGCCAAAAAATTAAAAACCCCGCCTGTTGCATCTCCTCCTTCCACAGGAATGCTCACCTCACCTCGTTCCACAGAAACGTTCACCTCATCAGACTCACCATCATCATCATCTCTCTCTCTCTCTCTCTCTCTCTCTCTCTCTTTCTACAAATCCCCTCCATGGTACATACCACCACTATCTTGTACCACCACCATGGTCGTCGCACCTACATCTCACCACCTGCAACCTCAACATGATCGACCATCACCACCATTCTTACCATCCATCGCCACCCTACCATCTTCTCCATCACCACCTCTTTCTTATTCCATGTGAAACCCTAAAATTGGTACCAACAACTAATAGAGTTTGGAGAAAAACTTGATCTAAGAAAAATCAAGGCAAACGACTTAGAAGATGCTACCATATACTCGTACAAAGCAACTCAGGTAGGTTATTTACTAAATTTTGTCTTTAATTCTAAAGATATTTCCTTCGATTCTAACACTCTTTCGTTCTCCCCCTCCCCCCCCCCCCTTCCTTCACAAACACACATGAATTATGACTTCCTTATCTTTTCCTATGGGGTTCACGAAGCGTGGTTTATACATCTAGGGTTTCTGAATTTCAAGTATTATGCACAAAAATGCCAGAAGAAATATGGTCAACCAGCTCAAATATGGTCCGATTCCAATTCTCAAAGCCCTCAACTCCGATTGACATGTGATTAAGGCTGATCAGGTACCACAATCCTTATTTTTCTATTTGTATATCTCTGTTTCTTTATTTACATATTTTGTGATTATATTATGATTGTTCGGACCTGCTTGGAAAAAGCTTAGTCTGTATGATGTATGATTGTAACAGGTTTGTATCAGAAAGCAAAAATGTTGGGTTCCTGTTTGTTTACTTTAAGGTTGGAATGCTGGATCCCCCAAGAGAGGAAGTCAGAGAGGTTACTAAGAAATGAATTGACTGGAATGATGCTAACAATTAGGTTGTAGAGGTTCAGAACATGTTTAAGAAATATGCACATAAAGTGTTTGTAGAAATGCCAAAGAGAGAATAAAAAGTGGTGAAACTATTAAAACTATGGTGACAACATTGAAGCTAAGAGGTTCTTCACCAAATTCCTCCAGAATGAGGTAGTCCATGAAATTAGTATCAATCCTAATGTATCTGTTCCTTTTTCACATGTTTCTATCTTATAAGGAGTTTAATTTATATTCATTTACTTTAAGAGTTCTTCATATTTGTACAGGTGGAAGCAAGCATTGAGTATAATTGTAGGCATGAAGGTCCAGGCAATTATGGTATTTAACACAATTTGGGATGAATCTCAAAGCTTCTCTACAATGTCAAAGCTACTAGAATATATTTATTAGTGGCTATATTGCAAGCCTTCAGTAATGCTATTGGTTTTGCTGTGGACCACAACAAAAAAGTGAGTATTTGATAGAAATATTTTCTATATTCAGTTTTATATTTTTAATGTTTCTACAACTTTGGATTCAGGTTTTTTGTGTGATTGGAGATGTTTCCTTTTTACATGATACTAATCGATTAGCGCTTCTGAAATAGAGGTACAAAATACAAATCCTATATTTCTCAGATTTTTATATTTATGTGTTTGCTAAATTTCTTGTTTTTGAAGGATTTCAAGAAAACAAATGACATTAATTTTACTAGATTATTAGGGTTGGAACGTTCCCACATAGGCATCTTCACTGAGTTGGGTGTCCTTTACGCCAGATACCGCTACGAGATTATTAGGGCTGGAACGTTCCCACATGGAAGTATGTATAATGGAGATTTTGTTTTTGGTAATTGCATTTACAAGCAGGACAGCTTCCTCTTGTGAAACCATATATGGTTGCAGTTCAGAGCAACAATGTATCTGCTGTAAATAAGGAATTTAATGAAGTATATGTGGAGGAGGAAGACTATGATAGGTTACGTGAGTCTATTGATTTGCATGACAACTTTGACTAGATTGGCCTTGCATAGAAGGTACTTTGTTTGTGGTACTATTATTATTGTTATTAAATGAAGTGAATTGTGATGTCATGATATTGATTGATGCATATGGATTGTTGGAGATTGAGTCATGGATGCCATGTCTGAAAGGACTAAGCCCTTTTTGGTTAATGGGTTTCAGAATGATTTCATTTTGCTTGATTTTAGCTGCTTCCATTGCTGATGTTGCTACTCATGGCACCAACTTATTTTACTATTATACCCATTAAGTCATCTACTACTACCACAAACTTGCAATGAGAATGAGTATGTTGTTGCTTTTTTATAATTATTTCTCTAACTAACAACTTCTGTTTATGTTTAGGTGGACTTTGATGTTGACAACAATCTATTTTCTGGTATTTAAATTATCGATTAATCAATTCATGTAGGTAGAGTATGAATATTATTCAAGTGTCATCATTTTCTTTGACTTGGTTTTGTCATTTTTTATTTTTGTTTAGTTTGGATCCGTGGTATCTGCTTCTGGATGTTTCCGGAATGACAAGAAGAAGATGTATAATGCTCATAGCATAATAGATACAGAGCAAGGAATTGGAATCTATATGCCTCTCAATCATGCACGAAAGGAGAAACCAATAAATCTTCAATAGGAATGTTATTTCTCACAAACTGCTACCATTTGGGGCTACACTTTTCAAATTGTATTTCAGGTGCTTTAACTTTAACATAATATGCCAATATTAAATAATTACCCCTTTGGAAACCAATCTAATCTCATCTGAAACTTAATTTTTCCTTCACAGATTACTAATAGGGCATGTGATGCTGACTGATGGTGTTTATTGGCTTGTAATCTTCCCATCTCTTAACATTTCAAATTATGAAATGAGTTTTGTATGTCTTTATAATTACTTTACACCATTTTTCGTGATTTGGGAGTTTTTTTTTGTGGGGTTTAAAGATTTAATTTGTTGTTGTTGTTGTTGTTTCTTAAAACCAGTTGACAGTTGTTCTTGATTCCCTTAATCTTGTTTTGGTGCTAGGAGACACTGCCATGAATAGCTTGGTAAAATTTCTTTATCATTAATTTGTTTCAATAACTTTTCTTTTCTTATATTCTAACTTAAAAAATTGAGATGAAACACTCTTGTTTCAGCGTTTCCCTTGGTTCAGAATATCATATTTTATCATGTTCACTGTGTTATATGTGATCTTCGAGTGGATTGTTCATGCCTTTGTTTCAACATGGTAAGTATACAAAACATCAGGTATGGGTGGAGGAGGATTTTCTCCACCACCACCACCACCAATGGGTTGAATGGGGATGTCGCCTATGCCACCATTTGGAATGCCACCAGTAGGCTCTTACTGATTCATTCATTATTGGTGGTTGAAAGAACAAACTTGAACAATTTCGAGTCGTGTGTTTTGGGGGTTAAAAGGAATATTTCTTCTAGATATGAGAATAAATAAGGTTTGGTTCTACTTTTTTTTTGGTAGTTGAGGAATTTTTTGCAGGTGGATAGGCAAGATGAGGGAGTGTTTGATGATACGTTTTCAGCCAGTGGTTGATGCTTTTGATCCAAGATTATTAGTGGCTCCTACTGTTTCCCATGTCATCAATTTTACTACTGTCAAGGTATTCCTTTTTTTTATTACATTTCCATTATGGATAAAATTTTATAATATTATTAAATGAATGTGAATTCTAGATATTTTTTTCTTCTTATTTCATATACAGGAAGAGGATTTGTATGAAATTGACATTCCACTAAAATTCACTGCTTGTATGGGCACAAGGATACATGGTTTAGCATGTTGGTTTGATGTTCTCTTCAATGGAAGGTAATAAATTATATACATATATTTTTTTTCTAGTTATTTAGAGAAAAAAAATAATAATAATTTTGTATGTTGACTTATATTACAACACAATGCAAAGGTGGTTGACGACTGCCCCTGGTACACCCACAACTCACTGGTATCAACTTCGTTGTGTTCTTTCTCAACCAATTTAAGTTAAACTTTGGTGTCGGCCCCTTTACTTATGACCTGTTTCTACAAAAGAACCACGAATACTTTTTTTCCCCAATCAAACCATGAAAGTTGCATTTTGACTTTTTATATTATGACTTTCTATTAGCTCTTGTTATTTTATGCGTTAAATATGTTCTTGTTATATATATAAACATTAAATATTTTTTGTTTTTTCAAGTTTTTGACAGATATACAAGTTGATAACGAAAACATTATTCCAAGACTATCTACTAAAACAAGGTTGGTGTAAGAGTTAATGATGAGAACATTGTTCCAAGACCTTCAGTGAGTTATGATGATGTCCCTTAATAGCAATGTAGTATTAGGTTATATAGTTAGGGATGATTATTTGTATTTGAGATGTTAGTGCAATGAATTATCCTTCTTATTATTAATTGTATTTTATTTTGTATTTTGTATGACATTAACTTTTGTAAAATGGATTGCATTTTTTGTATATGGTATTTTATTTTATATTATGAGACATGAAATGCAAATTTAATTTGAAAATTGGTAAATCTATAAACAATTTTTCTTTAAAAAAATAAAAATTACGATACGCAAAATGTGTGTCATCTTCATTTATGACATGGCCTTTCTTGACAGCGGCTTTAATGATACGCATTGTGTGTCATAAATGCGTGTCGTCTCTAGACGACGTGCAAAAGCGCATCGTCTCTCGTTATGACATGGCCTTCCTTGACACGCATTTGCGCGTCATCTGAGCGTTTTACGACGCGCAATGAGCGTCGTAAAAGGCTGCTTTTCTAGTAGTGAACTAATGCTCTGATACCAACTGTGACATCCCCAATTTCACGTCCATAAAAGACCGATTTGTTTATGCTTTGTTTTAACAAATCAAAGTAATCCATGGATTAAAAGAGTTGCGGAATTTGTTCCCAAAACAAAATATGATGAAATTTATCAAAACGTTTCTCAAGAGAATGTATTTTCATTAAATAATAAAACCTCGGGATGTCATGTTCCGATACAGACCAAAATCATAAACAATATAAAATAGACCTTACAACAGTTATTTATAACTATTGATCTATAATCCAAAATCTATCGTCAAGTCCACCAACTTATACCCTTGTTCCATTACCTGTAATGCAAAGAAAACTGAGTGGGTCAGGCTTGGGAGCCTGGTGAGCATATAGGGTTTTCAACCCACAACAATACATTTATTATATTCAATTATCAAACAATCAACCCAAATACCCATCCCCATATCTCCTTTATTTTCTCAAGGGTTTACCCTAAGAACCAACTATCCTTCATTCATTCATTCCTAAGGATTTACCTAAGGAACTGGCATAAATTCCATTTGCCACCACGATTTATTCAACAGGCACTACGTCACATAGTCACCAGGGTTCATACGATAGGCACCATGTCTCATAGTCACCAAGGTTTACACAATAGGCACTACGTCTCATAGTCACCTTGGTTTACACAACAGGCACGAAGTCACATCATCACCAAGGTTTATTAATTAGGCACGAAGTCGCATTGTCACCAAGGCTTACTCAATAGACACGAAGTTGCATCGTCACCAACTATTCCATCTACCTATGTTCTACCCAACATTTTTGTATATATAAATACAAACGCAGTTTAAATCATTCAACACCCATATAAAAACATCAATTCCAAGCCCATCTCAAATAGACAAATAATATATAACACATAGCACATATTTCATAGCTAATACTTTATATTTATGTGTTAGAAGAGAGTAACAATACACTCACTTGATCAGAAGATGATCAGACAACACTACAGCTTGTAGAAATAGTATTCTTCGGTAGATCTGAAAGATCTTCACAAAAATTGGCTTCTCGCGGGCAGAGCTTCGGCTCAGGAATTTCACTTCTCAGGATCTTTGGGGCTTCGGGACTTGCTTCAGGTCTCGGGAATGATACCGGGGCTTCGGGGTATTTCTTGCACGCAAAACGAGGTAAAAACGCGAAAGAAAGGGAAGAATGGAACACCGAAACTCATTTGCACTCGACATCTACTTATAGGGGCTGAACCCCGAATTACGTTGGGCGTAATATTTAGTTACGTTGGGCGTAACCTTGATAAGGTCGCTGACTCCACCACCCCCCCCCCCCCCTTGGATAGTATCGAAATTTTTAATTAAATTTAATATTTTAATTATTTAATAACCTTCAAAAATTCATATCTTCCTCATACGAACTCCGTTTTCGACGTTCTTTATATCCACGTGTAGGTGAGACTACGCTCTACAACTTTCGTTTAGACACCGTCGGCTAATTTTGAATTTATTTTTATTATTTTTTTAGTAGGTCAGGATAAGAAAAATTCGTTATAAATTCATAACTTCTTCATCCGATGCCTGTTTTCGTCTGTCTTTTTACTGCTGCACTACTATCAACAAGATCTTTGATTCTCGTTTATATTGTTTTGGCTAAAAACCGCTCGATCTCAAATCGAGTATTCGGGTTGCATACCGCTAAGTCAAAACTTAGAAAAATCATAACTTCATTAAATAGCGAAATTCTTGGGTCATCTCAATGGGTTCAGAAACCACACGTTTCGATTTCGGAGATTAGAGTAGAAAACTCCGTCATACGAAGTCAGATTTGGACGTTCTTTTTATGCACGCTCATGGTTTAACGAACTCTATGACTTTCGTTTAGATCGCTAAGGCTAAATATCGCTCTAACATAAATTCACTTTTTACGTCATTCAGCATCGTGTCGGTTCTGTCGCGAAACTTCGACAGGTCATAACTTCTTCGTTATAACTCAGATTTCAGCGTTCTTTATATGTACGAAATCCTTATAACATATACTACAACTTAGTTAAGATTATTCCTTCAAAATGATATTTCATCAAAAGGTCATTTTTGATGCTTATTGTCCTTAATTTGACTAGCCCTAATCTACGGGCGTTACACTTTGCCACCATTGCTAGTCCATATTAGTGTGCCGGTTATCTACACATGCTCCACTAACGACTTAGCAGGGTGAAAAGTGTAATTTCATTGAATAGCATCATTTCACATTTTTCCTAAAGTAACTAAGATTGGGAATTTTATTAAAAAAATAGTTACCTTATTAACCGTTATACTTTTAATAAGGAATTAGTTGCCCTATCCTACCCATTCGGCTAACAACCCTCCACCAATTAAGGAAGTGGTGGGTGAGAGTGGACATCCATTAAACTGTCATTTTATAGGTAGCAACCTTATACCCCCTCACAGATCGGCTTCGTGAATGAGGCCTACTAACGGTAAGACTAGCTTAATCTTATATATATATATATATATATATATATATATTAATAGTATAAGGGCTGAATTTTAAACTTGTAAAATCCTAGGGTTTAGAATTTAAATATTTCAAAATTAAACTTTTAATCAAAAAAATTTAACTCCAAAACTTGAGGGCAAGTTTTCAAACTTTTCATACTTTCTAGATCAAATTACAATCACTTTAATTAAACAGATAATTAATGATTATCTAAATTTGATCTAATTCAATTTCATGACAAGATAATTCAATTAAATAATTCAAATAATAAGATTATCATATAAGGCAATAATTATCTAATTAAATGACAATTATCTTCTATATTGATAAGGATAATCATATCAATTTAATAAAAATCGGATTTTATTAATCAAAAACGTTTTTGGTAATTATCCCAATAAAAAATAGGCCAAAATCCCAAAAGATCTGTTGTCTGACTCTCCAACTCGCCGAGTCACTAACTGGACTCGTCGAATTCATCTGGTGACTCGACGAGTTCAGCTGTCAAAGGGCAGAAAAATCGATTTTGCAAGCAATGAATGATCAAACAAGGCATCAAATACAATAGAAAATAGCCTAGGCTCTGATACCACTGATGGGTTATTAGCATTAGATCAATCCTATGGTGTACATGCAAACCCTAAAGCCTTGGATCTAGGTTTCTCTAATTGTACACGCAAATCATCCGAAGCTTGTAAACCCTAGATATATCATACAAAATTCGAAATTAATAACTAATACAAGTTTATATGATTACCTTTCAATTAAAGCTTGAAGATCCTTGACGTTGAGAGCTTAGTATCACAAATGTAATACCTCTAATCAATCACAAACACCAAGGAAAATAAAAGAATGTAAGAGGGAGAGGAAGGAGGCAATTTTCGGCTCTAGCCATCCTTCTAGTGTTAGGGTAGCCGAAAATGTGATGCCTAGGGTCCCTTTATCTAGGTGTGAATTAGGGTTTAAGTCAAAACCTAATCTGGTTGCGTAGCTACCAAGCAGGCCATTAGATCCTTCCAGAAACAAGCCTTGGACGATTTCAATGTGGGCTTGCACATTGATTTCATCCCTACCTTCTTAAGGGATCCACAACCCATATTCGAATTATCTCATAATTGGAATTCCAGTCCCTTAACTTTAATTAATATCTTTTGACCACAAAATTAATTCTTAATCAATTCTTGACCAATTTTAATTAAACAATATGATTTCTCTTTTAATATATTATTCACATAATATATTAACAAACCACATTTATCCTCTTTCTCTATAATTCATCCAGTCAAGTTGGTTTGGTGAAGGCAACCCAAAAGGATCATGCTACAATCGGGTCAAGTACATATCAAATATAGTTATGGACTTAGACACTAATCCAACAAATATATTATTAATGGAAAAACCTTCACTCGTTCATAAGGAGAGGACAAAAAAATAAAAATGTAACGACCCCAAATTTTCAACAAATTTTAAAATTTTCAAAACGATACTTTTACTACTGAAATGTTTACAAAAATAGTGTTTTCAACATTAATTGAAAATCAGAGTTTCCCAAGATCCAATATCTTGTAAAACCAAGGATGTGTACGGACACGCCTTTGCCTTGCCACTCTGATCTTCTGAGGAACCTGAAACCATAAACAAAACTGTAAGCACAAAGCTTACTAAGTTTTCCCCAAAATACCCCCACACAAAACAAGCAT